CCGGAAGTGGCGCTGTGGCTCAAGTGGTAGAGCACTAGCCTTGAGCTGAAGAGCTGAGGGACAGTGCCCAGGCCCAGAGTTCAGGCCCCATGACCGGACACCCCCCCAAAAAAAGAATCTCCCCTGCTCTAGGCTGAGAAAAGCACCTCTGTTCTCTCCTTGATGTTTGGGATTACATGGGGACCCTGAAGGACTGGTTCTGTTCCCTGAAATGCTGTGGCCCCCAGCAAGCCTTGCACAGGGCTTACCTTGCTGTTAAGGATCTGAAAGGTTCTCTGCTGGAGGCTTTGGCCAGCCTTGGGTCTCACAAGGATATAAATGACTTTCAGGCTGGGGCTGGTGCGCAACAGCTTCTCCATTAACACCTTGCCCAGGAAGCCTGTGGCCCCAGTGATGAGAATGGATTTGTTGTTGTAGAAAGCTGCAATCATGGACATGCTGTCTCCTTCTTGGCACTTACAGATCCTGGAAGATGTTCCTTAAAAAATCAAGAGGAAACAACAAAGCTTAGGGCAGCACGCCGAGCTCCTCAAACCCACAGCCACTGGTGACCAGTCGAAGCTTTCAGACGATCTGAACACAGTAGGGAAAGGTCAGGCAGGCCGGCCATGAGTGCGCTCGCAGCTGAAGCTCATACAGTTCCATCTCACAACAGCTATCCAGTTTTTTCTTCAAATTATTTTAAAGTAGTTGTAAAAGGGGTTTCAACTCAACATGTCAGGCAAGGAGTACCGAGCCTTTTCATCAACGTCACCCCTCCCATCGTTCTCCCCCCCCCTCCCACCCCTGCCCATCCCCTCAAGTTACTCGGGCCCACGTTCACCTGTGTGCATTGAATAGGATGACGGCACTCACCCGCCTTGTCTTATCCTACCATTTCTGAGTGTCTGTGACATGTCCCTCCTTGGACAAGACCAGGGCTACAGTGCTGCTCCTGGCATTGAGCCATTTGGAAAAAACAATCGAGATAGGGGAGGCCGGTGGAGGGAAGCCCAGGTCACAGTCTTTGGGGTTCAGGCAGCAGCTGCTGCTCAAGTTTATGTAGCACAAGCATGGGGGGTCTATGGCTGCATGGGGAGCCTATGGCTGCATGGGGAGTCTATGGCTGCATGGGGAACCTATGGCTGCATGGGGAGCCTATGGCTGCATGGGGAGTCTATGGCTGCATGGGGAGCCTATGGCTGCATGGGGGGTCTATGGCTGCATGGGGAGTCTATGGCTGCATGGGGAGTCTATGGCTGCATGGGGAGCCTATGGCTGCATGGGGAGTCTATGGCTGCATGGGGAGCCTATGGCTGCATGGGGGGTCTATGGCTGCATGGGGAGTCTATGGCTGCATGGGGAGTCTATGGCTGCATGGGGGGCCTATGGCTGCATGGGGAGTCTATGGCTGCATGGGGAGTCTATGGCTGCATGGGGGGGGGTCTATGGCTGCATGGGGAGCCTATGGCTGCCGGAGGGAAGCTCCAGGGCTTTGTCTCCCCATTAAGCTGAAATAGCTGAAGACTGGGGATTGCATTGCTTGGACCAACGCTGAACAGGAACAGGTGCGCTTTCTCTCCACCAGCTGGAAGTCCTTGCCTGCCTGCCTGTCACAGATGCAACCCAGAGACTTTAAAAGAGAAAACAATAACAAAACTAGAAGAAAAGAGCAAACACCTTGCTTCTTTAACTCTAGTAAACACTCTGGTCAATGCTAGTAACTCTTCAAGAACACTGATTTCATATATATATATATAATTTTTATTTTTTGTTGGTCGTGGGGCTTGATCTCAGGACCTGGGTGCTGTCCCTGAGCTTTTTCACTCAAGGTTGGTGCTCTACCACTTGAGCCGCACCTCCACACCCAGCTTTCTGCTGGTTAATTGGAGAGAAGAGTCTCATGGATACTTCTGAAACCTTGCAAGCCTCAGATCTCAGCCTCCTGAGTAGCTAGGACTTCAGATTTCTAACCAGCTTTGTCAATAGCTCCCACACCCACAAAGATTTGTGAGTTACTCTTGACACGATTTCTAATGAGGCCTCAGCAGGTTATCATCAGAAACCAACATAGTGCTTTTTTGCTGTAAAAGGAGAAAAGGAAGATAAAGCTATCAGCTTCATCATACAGGTTAGCTCCAGAATCTTTGGAAGCAATACAAATTCTGCACAGCTATTGCTCTACTTGCTGTCAGAAACACGCATCTAAGCCCGGGTGCTGGGGGCTCATGCCTGTAATCCGGGCTAGTTGGGCAGCTGACATCCTGAGAGTCAAAGTCAGCTTGAGGTGTGGCTCAATTGGTAGAGTATCAGCCTTAAGGAAAAAAAACAAAACAAAAAACAAGCAAGAGCACAGGCCCTGAATTCAAGCCCCAAGTAGTGACATGTGCTCTCATTTCTGAGAGCACCACTTAGCAATCTTAGGTTCCTTTTACCAGTGAGCTTATTATAAAAACTAGAGTTTCCATTGGAAAACTTAGTGGGGGAATAGCAGTGCCCAGGGCCTTATGGGGAACTGCAGGCTTCACTAATTGAAGCAGCCAAACTCCATAGTCAAGAAAAACCAAACTGACAAAAGTCCCAGCTGGGAAAGAAGGCTAAATTTAGCAAACACGCCAATATATTCTTCCTATGTGATTTCTGTGAGCTTATTAAACTTTCCAAAGTCAAGCAGATTTAATCAGTATCATTGATTAAACACGTTTTGAGTACCTACAATATGCTACATACTGTTAAGTGTCAATAATGAATTTGTAAATATCCTCGCTAATTGGAGAAGCATTCTAAACATGCAAGGTGTTATTATTGTTCCTAAGAAGTCAGTCAAAGATTAGTTCCATGTTAAGGATTATAAAATGGTAGCCAGACTGCCATCTAGAGATGTCAATCTCCATATTTCCTAGTTTCTCTGGCTGGTTTACCAATTGAGTCAGATTACAAATAAAAGCTCAGTTGAGCACTAACTGAAAGAGAATAGGAATGAAACTGAATGACTAGGAAGCAAAACATTTTTCATACTTTACTAAGAATTCAAGAGTTTTGTAAAGTGATGACAGAGGTTATCTTTCTTGTGTATGTGGGGGGTAGTATGTACTAGGACTTGAACTCAGGGCCTTGCACTCGGTGTTTTCAATCAAGGCAGAGCGCTCGACCTCTTTTTTTTTGGGGGGGGGGGTCCAGTCATGGGGCCTGAACTCTGGGCCTGGGCGCTGTCCCTCAGCTCTTAGCTCAAGGCTAGCACTCTACCACTTGAGCCACAGTGCCACTTCCGGCTTTTTTTCTTTTTGCTTATGTGGTGCTGGGGAATTGAACCCAGGGCCTCATGCATGCAAGGCAAGCGCTCTACCACTGAGTCACCTTCCCAGGCTGCGCTCTACCTCTTAAGGCACACTGCCACTTCAGGCTTTTTGCTGGTTCACGGGAGAAAAGAGACAAATGGGCTTTTCTGACCAGGCTTGTTTTGAATTGAGAACCTCAGATCTCAGTCTCCTGAGTATCTGGGATTACAGGCATGAGCCACTTTGTTCGATTACCTATCTATTAATTTAGAGTTCTCCAGAATAACCACCAAGAGGATTTTTGTGTAGTTGCATGTGTTTGTCTATGTCCAGAGATAGAGACAGAGACAGAGACAGACAGACAGAGACATAAAGAAAGAGGCAAAGGGAGACAGACACAGAGAGACAGACTGACAGGCAGAGACAGAGGGAGACACAGGGGTGGGGGGGCGGATTTTAAGGCACCTGCTCCCCTGCTCCCACAATCACAAGTGCTGGGCAAGTCTAAAGCCTGCAGAATGGAGACCCAGACAAGCGCTGAAGCTCAGATCCCACAGCTCTCTGTTGGCTGAATTCTTTTTGTTCCAGAAGATGTGTCTTTATTCTACTGAGACTTTCAACAAGTGGGTGAGTCTCACACATCTTTCTGTCTTGGAGGGAGAATCTGCTTTCCTCAGACTTTAACCATGTAAATATTCATCCCACACAATCAACATCACCACAGAAACATCCAGAAATAACGTGTGACAAAGTATCTGGGCAGACAAGTGGACACCCAAAATTTAACCATCACAAATTCACGGTAACTTGGTTCCCCATATGTATCTCTTGAAATCAGGCAGATCCTCCTTTCAAAACCCCAAATCCAAGGTTGTGACCCCAGCTGACATGCTCTAACAATCCCAAATGCACCCAGATTTTCCCTAGAAAAGGATATAAATTACTTGGTTATGTTTCCTCTTTTCCTTAATAATTATCTAATTACTAAGATGGAAAGTTAAGGCTTAAACACCATAACCTGATGTCAATACATCAAATGCTGCAAGATAAGGGGGAAAAAAGAGAAAATGGAAAGAAAACAGATACCTAAGCTGGGAGCCAGTGGCTCAGATCTATATTCTTCGCTACTCAGGAGGCTGAGGACTGAGGACTGAGGTTCAAAATCAGCCCAGCCAGACAAATCAGAGAGACCTTATCTCTAATTTAACAGCAAAATGTAGGAAGTGGAGTTGTGGCTCAAGTGGTAGAGTGCCAGCCTTGAGTGGACAAATCAAGCAAGAATGCGAGGATCTCGGTTCCAGACCTGGTTCTGACATAAAATAAAACTGGAAACAGATATTTAGAAATTCATCAAGAGGAATTTAACTGAGGAAATTGTTTGGAAACAAAATGATTAGGATTTGTGAAGACTTTAATAAGGCCCTAATTAAAGGATTTGATTTAGCATCATGAACCTAAGAGACTATTGACTCATGTACTAACACCAAAAAGTTGTACAAATTGTTATTTGTACAAAAAGACTACGGTATTTTATATATAAAAACATCCTAGAGAAGTCATGTTGTGGCTCAAGTGGTACAGTGCTAGCTTTGAACAAAAGAGCTCAGGGACAGTACGTAGGCCCTGAATTCAAGCCCCATGACCAACAATACATAAATAAATAAATAAACTTTTCTTTGCAGGTAGTTGGTTATCAGAATTTATTAATGCCAATGAAAAGATAATTTGTTAACTATCAATCAAAAGAACATGTTCGGTATGTATGTCATGTGTGTGTGTGTGTGTGTGTGTGTGTGTATGTTGTGAAGTAAGATTCTAGGAGCTTAGCCATTGCCACATATCAGTATTTTTTTTCCCTTTCTTGTGCCAATCTTATGTCTTGAACTCAAGGCCAAGGCACTGCTATCATTGAGTTTTTGAACTCAAGGCTACTGCTCTACCACTTGAGCCACAGTTCTAGTTCTAGCTTTTGGTGGTTAATTGGAGATAGGAGAGTCACAGACTTTCCTGCCTGAGCTGGTTTTGAATCACAGTGATCAGATCTCAGCCTCCTGAATAGCTAGGATTACAGGTGTGAGCCACCAGTGTCTGGCTTCAATAATTAATCTGTGTATGTGTGTGTGTGTGTGTGTGTGTGTGTGTGTGCGCGCACGCGCTAGTATTGGGGCTTGAACTCAGGG